TTGCTATTTAAATCCAAGAATTTTCGAGGCTGGCTAAAAAATAAATCTCATTTTTCCCCTAGCTAGTGTAAAGCTGGTCTTGTGCTTGCATAGTAACAAATTAATCTTCTCCAACCAAAAAGGATTCCTTTTGCCTAAATGGGTGCTGTGCAGCATATGCAACCTGCAAATGCAGCATACATATTGGGTTCATTTTTTTCATTAGATTTTCTTTCTTTATTTTTAACTGAATTTTTCTCCCTTCCCACTCCTTTGTCAGGCCAAGGGAACAAGCTGTGATAGCATTCAAGGCAAACTTTTGAGCCTGCAATATCTGGGGTAGTTCAGAATGTAGAGTTTAGCTATCTTTAACACTGGCAAGTCATAACAACAGTGAATTAACTCTAAAAATCAGAGAGCGGTTGGCAAAGAGTGTTTGTCAAAGGAAGCATTACTGAAGCAATGCAAGGAAGCCTAAAACTCTTTGGTCTGTATCTTGTGCCTAGCTCCAAGGTGCTAATGATAATATTTTGCACTCAAATGTGTATCTTTTTCCCTAAACATCTCAGAACACTTTGCAAACATAAATGTATTAAAGACACACGTTTCCAAAGCACGTAGGTGAGAGGGCATCAATATATGGCTCCCAGGCCAGATGCAGCCCATGGAGCTGGGGGGCTTTATCTGGGTCCACACTTGGGCCAGAGAGCTTCCAGCTGCACCCATGCCACTGCTGCTTCTCCCCATCCTCCTGGTTCTGGTTCAACACAGCCCAGGTGGTTGTGGCAGCATGTCAGCAGCAGGGTGCCGTGCCAGGCAGCTGGGATCTGTACACATGCCACTGCTGCTTCCCTTAGCCCTCTGCTCCCTGGTACAGCATGGGCACAGCTTCCAGGCAGCAGAGAGCTGCACCAGGGCCTAGCATCTCCAAACTGCATCTGTGCTGCTGTTGTTTCTCCTCTCCCATCCTGCACAGCCTTGGTGCAGCTTTCAGCCAGTGGGCAGCTATGTTGGAGCCAGGAAGCTTCCAGCTGTTCCCACACTGAAGCCAGAGGCAGGGGAGGGGAGAGGGGGAGCAGAGGGAAGCAGCAGCAGTGCAGACACTGTTTCCAGCTGCCTGGCACCTCCCCACTAGCTGGAAGCTGTGCCTGGGTCACAGCTGGAGGGTTGGGAGAAGCAGCAATGCTAGTGCAGCTTCCAACTGCCTGGCTCCAGAGTGGGCATGGAGGAAGCCACTGAAGTCACCTGGCTTATGCTGGACTGAATCTGGGTTGTTCCATGTGGTCTGCGGTGGAAAGGAATGTTTCAGTGGTCTCCTCTTTTTCAGCATCCTTTGTCAGAAGAATTCAGATATGAGAAGATGACCTGGGACCCCAAAAAAGGATTTGTCATCCCCTCTCCTCCTTCCCGCTTCTTCAAGGGCCTGCTCAAGTGCATCGCCACAGTAAATGGAAATGTGTTCACATCCTACTACATGCCACAGAAAGTGGGTGAGTAACCACTGTGTGCTGACAAGTGATAGCTATGTTTCTGTTACATAACTAAATGTTCTGGTACATTATTCTTTGGTTAGCCTAATTCCCAGTTTCACCTTGGTATATATAACTGGTGTGTATTAGCTGTAGGCCGCAAACTGGAACTTTTTGTGTAAACTCCCTCCCCCCCGGCTTGAGCTTTAGTGGTTCACATCACATGGAATTTGGCTCTGATCCACCCTGGGTTTTGAAAACTTGCCAGGTGTGGAGATGAGACAGAACTATAATATTTTACCCAAACCTCTCCAAAGCTTCATTGGTTTGGATAAAGTGGGACCTCAATTCAAAAAACCGCTGGTTTGGAATTTGCAAACCCAAACAGTGGCCTCCTTTACCCATTAATGGTATTTACTGAACATGCAAGATCATGGTATAAAATCTCATGAAAATGCTCATTTTCAAACCTCACTGTTTTTGTTTGGTTTTGGCTGGCACTCTCCCACATACTCTTCATTACATCTAGAGCTGGGCTCCAGATGTAGAGCTCACATCTGGATTTTGAGGACCCCAAAGATGAGAGCCTTTGGGGCTGTGGGTTTTGTCCAAATGCTTTTCTAATAATTTCCCTTTTGTTTTGTATGTAGAAGATTTTTTTTTGCCTACTCATAAATTCCAAATTTTAATAAGGAAAGTTCATTCTGACATCATTTCTCTCAGGTCATGACATCCTGCTAAACAATTAGCATGTGGCTCAGAACAACAGCCTGGCAAATTTGTCTGGCAGCCAAATAGAAGTTTTGGACATCTTTTTTCCCATCACTTAGAGTAGTTATTTGTTACTTAACCCACAGAATCAAAGACAGAAAAAACTTGTTAGGTCACCTAGCCCATAAGGGCAACACAAGCTCCTTTTTATTGTTATTATCTTACAGTCTCCTCAATACCGTACACTCTACGTAAGAGTCGTTACTCCTATCCAATGGTGCTCAATGACTTCATTTCAGATAGGGAGCAATAAGGCTGTATTTTCAAAAAGACATGAGACTTTAGAGCTCAGTTTAGAGGAAAGCTGGTTTTCGGAAAGTAGATGTCCTGTGCTTCCTGGAAGTTGGCCCCTTTTTATTTATAAATACTAAGGCCTTCAAAAGCACCAGACTTTTTTTTAAATCTCTTTCTGCATAGGAATTAAGAAAGGATGGACCCGGGCCATCTCTGTATGTGGTTAATGACTGAGGGCTGGAGCCCAGCAAGACAGAGGAAAGAAAGTTAACTAAATTAATAAATTCATAGATTTTAAATCCAGATGGGACTACAGTCTGACCCCCACCCCCTACACACAGCACAGAGAATAGGCTACTCCCTATTTAGGCATTTCAGTAAGTAACCTCATTTTTTTCCAAATGCCATATCACTCAACAGCTCCGTAAAGGTCAGTTAGTAAACGTAATTTCTTGCCGAGTTTGGGGAAACAGCGGATCTTGAAATTTGGGTCTCATCTTAAATTTGATTGAAGAGATGTGGCATTAAATTTACCTTTGACACTTTTTGTTTCAGAGGGTAGAGTACAGAGCCTGGCTCTGAAAGCAACTCCCAGAAGGCTGCTGGTTGGAGAAGCCCTCAATCTGGAATGCACCGCAGAGACCTTTGTCAATGGACGGATTGAGTTTCAGTGGCAGTATCCCAAAAGGAGAGTGAGTAGATGACAATTCCAGGCTGTCTTTCATTCAGTACTGGAGTCAGTCTGATGGAAATGAAAGATCTGTGATTATGGCTCATTGGACCCCAATCTTATTCTCATTCATCATTCCTAAAGCAATCCACAAATAGTTGTATTTTCAGTTCAAACCAAATAAGAATCTGGATGCTTACATGATATATATATCTGACTCTCTGGGCTCTTCAAAACTGACCTGCAAAATGTCATACTAAATGGATTCCTGTAAGATGACAATGAATAATAGTTTCTTAAGGGAAGGAATAGCCTTTCCCATATCAGAACAACCTCTCCTCTTCCCAGCTGACAATAGGATATTCCCAGAGGCAGCCACAAACATGGCAGATTCTCCAGTTCTCTACCATCCATGTTGGTATTTATGTGGCATGTAACAGTGAAGCAAAAGTAAACTGCACTTCCCAAAGTTCACTACTCATTTGGGCCAAGTTTTAAGTGAAAGGTCCTGGGGTCTGTTTATGGCATACAATACAGGGAGGATTCATTTGTGATTTGATTCAGTGAGGTGCTGAGACTTCCTTGAGATGCCCTAAACTCCATCTGTCTAAGGCTCGGATATTATTAGGTGCTCACTGCACTGTGTGCAATCCCTCCACTATAGGACTGGGCCCTACCATTGCTGTGTGTTAAAATGAGGAGGAAAAGACATTTCTAACAAATGTCTAAACCTTCTGAAGAAAGAGGGGGATATGACCCAGAGATCAGCATCCCAATTCAGTTGAACTAAAACATAGTCCATTTCTTTTCTGTGTAGCCCTCTAAAATTGATGATTGGTCAGATTTCGAGGTTTCTTGGTGAAATCAGTAAAGAAAGCAACAGTAATATAAAATCTGCAACCCAAAACCTGGTTTTATAGAATTGTTTTCTTTAAAATCTAGATAAAGTATGAGAATATTATCTTCTTTCTATCATTTTTCTTTGCATCATCCTTTAGAATTCTCTGTAGCAGGTATACAATTCCCTAATAACTTCTATAGATCCCAAATTCTGTCAAAAGCTTATCAATCTGTAGGAAATTCTGGAGGGCTTTTTTTCATTGAGGAGTGGTTGCCAAAGAGATCTTTTTGCTGGTTTAAAGTATTAGTCTTTCTTCTCCAGTCAGCCTAAAATTAAGGAAGAATGAAAATAAATCCCTGTTGGGGAAGTTGAATACCATAGTTGAAAACCTTACAAGCTATGAATGGGACTGGCTTTGTGGTATGACTACTTATTACCCATCTGCCTAGACATTAATGAGGGAACTTCAGAATTGTATTAGGTTATGTGTATGTATACCTCCTAATAGACTGCACACTGGAAACTTAGCGAGAGGGCTTGTCATTAGCTTATTTTATATTCTATATAATGCTTTTATAACTCATATGTCTTAACTGAGAGGCTGTTAGAAAGAGTGAAAAGGATAAGCTAAAAGCTGATTCTACATTTTCCCTTTTCTGATTCCCAGAAGGATTATAAGCCTGTATCAGCGTTGGACAAAAGTTCATTGGTGTATAAATGCTCCAGCAATCTGACTATCCAGAATGTTACCATGGAAGACAAAGGCCGCTACATCTGCCGAGTGGTCAATGTAACAGGCCTGGAGACCAGTGCAATGGGGCTGGAAACCAATGTCACAGTCACAGTGTATGGTAAGGTCCATATCTGCATGACAGCAGTGTCTGGGAACTAGCACTGTTAACTATAGGCACATTTAATCTGTCTGCATAAAAATGGAATCAGCAATGATATTGGCTAGGATGCAATCACAAGATTGTGATGCTGTAGGGCATACACATTGATCACCAGACAATCAGGAAGAAATGTCTTCCTCAAAATATGCTATGTAATTATGGAAAAGTTATGTCTCTGCTTAAACAAATGGTGTCCCTATCAGAGAAGAGGCACGGCATGTAGAAATGCCTTAGCTTGTCCTGTTTTGGTAGTTATGTTTTAACTGTCTCTGAAAAGTCAGTACATTTAGGAAACCCATGGAAGCTGGAATTCAACTGCTTGGTTGTGAGTTGGTTATATTTGGGGAGGTGGGAGTGAGGGGCAGCATCTTTGTACAACTGCACCAACATTTTGTAAACGGCCCAGCACCCACCAATGCAGCCAAGTTTTCAGTCACACTCCGAAAGTTGGGATCTGAGCATTTGGGAAAACATGGCTAAACTGGGGTCCTAATTTATCCCCTTGATAGTTGGGCCCTTTCAGAGTTCAGATGGCCACAGGTAGAGATCAGAAATTGCAGAGAAAACCATGATTGAAACTATCCAGCCACTGCACAGTTTTGCAATATAGCCATGAACTTATCACTTCCTCTGGCTGTCTGCAGCTTCCCCTCAGCTGTGCTGCTAAAACCCAGTCATCCAGGGCAGCAAGCATTTGTAGCCTGGCAATCTTCTATTGTTTGATTTGTTTTTTATTGTCTCTTTTAGACAAAGCTTTCCTTCGGGTTTCCTCTAAGAAAAGCCACTACTATGAAGTGACAGCAGGACACAAGTTACTGAAACTGGCTGTGAAGGTGGAAGCCTTTCCCCGCCCAAATATTACCTGGTGGGTATCATCCATTCACATGTGATCAGGATTGCGGGACCTTTCTTTCTCAGCTTGCAAAAGTGGGGTGGTCTACTCTAAATAACAAAGTTGACACTAATGATATCCAAGTGCTATACTCTACACTGCCACAGACCCCTTGAATGATCTTGGGCAAGCCTCTTCCCTGCTCTGTGCCTGACTTGCCTTCTCTAGTTATGCAAAGCAATGTGGGAACGTAGTCATTCATTCAGCTGTGTGCAGAAAATGCCTGAGAAGCACCAAACAGGAGTACTAGTGGCATCAGCACTGTTGGGGAACATCTTCAAAGGAGCCGGTGCCTCCAAGAAAGCTGTAAGGAGCACACTCTGCACAAGGAATTCTTCCTCTTTAGCTGATATTTTTTTCCTCCCTGCCTCAGATATTAGTAGGGACATCGGCATGCCAAATGGATCTGTTTTTCATGAAGGTTTGTCTGCTGCTGCTTTGCCACCTGAAGTCCTAATGCACACATGAGTGTTTTCTATCACAGCCAGCTGGGAGGGATTTGGACTTTAGCTCCGGACAGGAAGACAAGAGCCTAGCAACCCAGAAGATCCTGTTTTCATGCACTAATAACAAAGTAATAGCAAAGTGAAGGGAATACTGATGTGTGAACAGAATCACTGATGTGTGACACAAAACGTTGTTCAAGCTTTCCTAGGATATTTCATAAAATCAAATATGGAGGTCTCTTAGACCTTCTAATCTGTTCCTTCTTACCAAAGGATAATTCCCAATGTCCAGTGCCGTCTGTAGCAAGAACAAACCTTATTTCTGGCACGTTGCTTCCCATGCATTTCAATCATGGACTCAGGCAACGTTTTCAGAGTCACCCACAAGAATGTCACCATCCTTGGTCCACCAGTGTCCCGTCTATGTCTGCATCTCAAACCATTACATGCACATAGCATTCTAGCACACAAAGGAGAGAATGGCAGACTGGTCTTGGTCTGTGGGTCAAGGATCAGTCATTGGCTGCTCCAGCATAACTATAACAAACCACAGTTTAATAGCCCATGCAGTACTTCAGCAGCCACAGGAAGTAAAGACAGGCATGGTCTCCTTTCTCCTTCTCCCTCCTCTTTCTCCGTGTTTCTTTGGATAAAAAGGAGAAATATGGGCCAAGACCACCAGTTTATTCTGTTCCCTGCTCCATTCCCTGTTCCTCAGTGTTCAGAATATCCTCAACACGCATTGGAGGCCACACTCAATATTATCCTACACTTCACTTATTCTATGCAGAGGTTGAGCTGTGTTGGCAGTTCTGTGATGCACTTTCCATTGGCTGAGTCAATAAAGGAGGTCTGAGTCAGAGTCACTGGGCAGCTGGATTGGTGAGCACCAGCAGCTAGTGGTTAGCTTAGTTTTGGGAGATTAAATTCCAGGGGAACACAGCCATCTGATTCTGTTTTTAGAGCTAAAATAGGGACTGTGCCCCTTTTCACCCTCAGTATGCCTTGCCCTTTTGGGTCATTCTTTGTGCAGAGGGTGGGAGAGGAAATTGCCATTTCTGGTAGCAGTCTGAGACCACCAAAGTTGCCTTCCCTGGGTGTTCTAGGGATGTTGATGTTGGAGGCTTTGCCAGTGGAGTTGTTTGAACTGCTGTACAGGAGACTTCTAAAACTCCCAGAATGAACACAGTCTTGTTTCCTTGGCTGTTTCCTTCACTGAGTCCATTCAGTGTATCCCCTTCAGTGGCACTGACCTGTTGAAGATAGTATCTTGCCCATTAAATGGTTGAAGTTCAGAAGTATCCAATCAGTATTGCATGCTATTTGCAGGTGCCTTTTTCTGTGAGGAGGGGGGAGATTATCCAGGTTCTCCTGCCCTATTCCTTGTCATTTTAAGATCACAGATGCTCCATGGGGAGGAAACAAAGGTTTTCAAAGTGCTTGTCTGAACAGAATAACAATGGGCTCCTATACATGTGCAGGGAGCCAGCTCCGACACTCTCGAAATCCAGCACATTGGATCAGACTCGATTAATCAAGTCTGCTAGAGTGTTAAAATTAACACACTCCAGCAGACTGTAGCATTACATGTATCAGCATACCCATGCTGAAAAATGGTGGTGGGGCACTTCGAGCTAAAGCTCGTTCAATGAGTTTTAGTTCAAAGCTCCCCGCTGCCATTTTCAGCACAGGAACACTGATGTACATGATGCTCAGGTGCTTTTAATTAGTGTGGCTTGCTAATTAAAGAGCCCCCCCCCCCGGCCTCCTGGAGCACATGTAGGATGCCCAATGTCTCCCATCCATCGACAGAATTAAATTTTCAAAATGGGCTCAGTTGTTGTAAATTCTTCAGGGCACAACCTTTAGCTTATTCTGCAGCTGTAAAGGGTCATGTGTACCTATGGTTATTGTTTGTATATTCACTTAATTTGTTGGTTCCAAAACTAGTGGCTCAAGTTCAGGCCAACCTGTCATTTACTGTGCCTGTTGCAAGGCTTATGCAAAGTATGTACCCTACTTGTTGGCTTGTTTGTGAACTACTCAATCTGCACTTGCAGATGGTGGTGATTTGTGTCCATCTCAGTTGCAGGAGCTCCAAAAACTGACTTGTACACTGTGCATGGCTTATAACTTGCACTTTAAAATTGGTGTTGCTGGTCCAGAAGCCACCTAGTTCTACAACTGGGAGTGCTCCAGACGGATACCATTCTCATCTCTTCTTTTCATAGTTGCTGGCTGAAAAATGGAAAGCATCTTACAGGATGGTCTGTGCACCCCCAATGTGGTGGGAATATATATTGTGTATTTTTTATCCAGTCCAAGCCCTAATCTCAGGTATTCTCCAAGGCTAATACCTATCTGTTTTCCTATTGAAAACCAGAAGCTAATAGCAATTTGCCCTTCTGGCATATACAAGGGCTTGCCTGTATGCATAGCTGACAGCCTTTGTTGGGACTTTCTAAACAGGTACAAAGATGGCAAGCCAATCAAGGAGAACCATACTTGCTATGAACCTGATCCAATGAAGTACAAGCTAGGCATAAGAGATGTGAGACTGAAGCATGCTGGTAATTACACCATAGTCCTGAGCAATGCTAAGCATGGCCTATATGAGAACTTCACTCTCCAGCTGGTCGTGACAGGTAAGCACCTGATGTTCCTAAGTATTTCCATTGCTCTCTTGCATTTCTTTTGTGATGCTGCCTTGCCAGGCCACTAGGCACATTGAGTTGTCTGTGTCATTTCTCTCTGTTGATGGATATGAGTTATGCATAGCACTGAAACAGACTGATCAGGTTTTATAGGATTCAGGCTGGGGCAAGGCAGTACCAGCAAAGGGCTGGTGTGAGGTTCATGAGAAATGGGAAGGTGAGTATTACCAAATGCAGCCCCAGGCATGCAGGTCCTTTCCCCACCTGAGTGCATTCCTGAGGGCTCTCCTATGGCTCCCTGCCTTAGGTAAAGCTGGACAGGCTCTTTGGGCAGAGGGGCATGTGCCTCCAGCCACACGAAGCATTGTGGGGGAAGGACACTGCTGTACGAGGGGCCAAAAGGTAGGTTGAGTGCTCCTCTCTCTGCCTCCATTCCAGCACCTCCTGTTACTGAGTGCCTGGGGCTCAAATGTCACATGCACCAGATGTTCATGCCACTTGTGGCAAGTATGCCGTGGGCTGGCCACCTCTCTTCTAAGGAATAGACCAGATGATCTTTCCACTTGCTGTGGAGCAGCACTGTAATATTGTGTGGAGGACAGCAATAGTCTGACAGCAGACAAAGGAAAAAAAATAAGGAAAATATCTAAAAGCAAACGATTAATCTGGGGAATATACCATCAAGGAGAATGGTGGAAGTTCCATCCAGTGGGATTAAAACCAGTCTAGACGAAGCATTCCCGGAAGGAAGAGGGAAGCCCTGCATTAGCTTAGGGAGCAGAATTAGATGGGTCACTTGGCCTTTTCTGTCTCTGATGCCTATTAATCATCCTTCATAGAAATACTTCACAGATCTGTATGTTATTTATCTAATGGGGCATTTGAGAGAAACTCATTTTCAAGAGTCTTGGGAAAATTGCAAACTATGTGACTTGATATAGGTTAATTTGAGACTGATGGAGAGAGATTCAAACCACACTTAATCGCCATCTCTGGGAAGTTTTGAAAGAAACGCCTTCTTATCACACTATTGCCTACTGCCTCATCACCTCATTCCTGATCCTTTCAGTACAGTAGCAGAGAGACCAAACCATGAAGCAGAATAGGAGTTTAGTGAGAGTTCACCCTGCTTTCTTTTGGGCTTCCTGAGTTTCAGTCAGGCAGTAAAAAAGATAAAGTTATCAATGCTGGTTTGTTTTCTTTTCAATAGTGAATGGGCTTTTCTCCCCCTTCTCTTTACATTCTTTATGCCTAAAAATATTCCCCATTGTGCTGTATTGCATTGCCTGTATGCTGCTGTGCCATGCAACTTCCAGTCATTGTACACGTTTCATTTCACCTTGCACACACAGAGCATTGCCTCACAAGCAGGGGAAAAAATGAGGAGACGCAAAGAGTAATCTTGACACCATTGATGTCAATGGCAAAACTCCCACTGATTTAAGGTGGGCCAGGATTTTACCTTAAATCTTTGTCCCCAAAACTATATAGGCCCCTTTATCCCAATGACTTCCTCGGCTGAGGCAAACACACCTGCATTGGCAGTGGACTAGGTCTTTCCCATCTCTGATTTCTGTTCTTTTTTGTCATTATGAAGTTCATCATTTGGGTATCAATCCTCGTTGCACAGCTCTAGTTATCAGCTGAATCATTTGGACAAGTTTTGGTTTATATATGTTGTTCAGGACGCGTTCGCTATGACTGTTTGCAACACTGGTTACTCTGTGGGTGTGGTATGGGTTGCATAGCATTACTTGTTCTGTCTGTTTGGATGACTGGAATATTTTAAAGAGGAGAAAATTAGGGATGACAAATAGCAATTGTTGTTGTTGTTGCTGCTGCACATACGATTGTTTGCATGTGAAAAGGGCATTCAGATACAGAACAGCCGTTCCCCAAACATTCATATAAACAAAAACCTGTTTCCATGAATGCTTGTGAGAAGCCAAGGACACGATTTTATTGCAGGATTCTATTAACTGCTTTGCACGTCTTTCATCTCTTTGTTTCATAAACAACCATTCTCCATCTTGCACTCACATGCAGATCATGCTTGTTGTTAGCCCTTGTCACAGTTCAGCACAACAGAAGGTAGAAGGCATTAATCAGGGGTAATTCCTGTGTCATAAAAAATGCTATTAGCAAACTACACAAAGTCCGACAGCTGCAGGGATGCTCCTAATTGGTAAAGTGCAGACACAAAGATGCAGAGAGATGCACAGGAAAAACAAACAATAAGTGTTCCCTTTTTTTGGTAGCCAAAGATTGCCCTAGAAATGTTCGCAGAAATATATGCCCAAAAGTCCAGTCGTCCATAATTGAGTGTCTGAACTTAATGAAGAAACTTGCTCTGCCCTTGGTTTGAATGACACCGCAAATCATCCCTGCCTTTACCCATTGCCTCTGGCTAGTGCTCCTGTCTTGTGCACTTCCACAGCTCATTTTAGCTGAAGTACTGAATTAAAGGGAAGGATTTTTGTGGGCAGAAGTAGATCAAGAAAGACTTTATTCTTGAAGCGTGCTCAGCAGCAGCTCCGTGCCTGTCCTTTATTTTCAGACCTGGGCACTTACTGCTTGCTCTCCAAAAAATTAAGTGTATTTTTTTTTATCTTGCATCTTAATCATGCTGCATTTAAGCTCCTAAACCAGTACCCTGATTCTGTCTCTCTAACCATTAATCACCTGGGAAGGTCATGAGCACAAGAATTGGAGAGATTGCCAAGAGCTGCAGTAAATATTCATACTTTGGGCCTCTCTGCCAATATTGTGGCCTGTCCCTAAATTGCAAACATCACTGAGCTAGAAATGGCCATGTTTAGGGAAGTGATATTAACTGCTGCAGCTAGGGCTGCAGGCGGATGTATTGTCCTGCACTTGTAATTTGGACCCAGGAGTTAATACTCTTTGTGAAATTCTTCTTGGATCAGCAGTAAATGCAGTGATCAGAGCTTCAGTTTTGCATCGTGTCTGAAAAACAGCATCTTTAGCCATGCATCATGCTGGGACACTGGCTCAGGAAAGAATGCCCCCTACTGAGTCCTAATAGCTTTTCCTGTAGGCTTCCCTTAGAGGCATCTTCCATATATAGCAGATACCATAGCAATCAGTATAATTACAGCATGGACTGCACACAGCACATAGAGAAAGCACGGTGGTGACAAGTGCACAAACAGGAGGTATTTCCTCCAAGTTGGAGGTGGGTAATGCAGAATCCCTGTTAGATGTCAGCTCATCACAGGCAGGCACAAGAGGACTGCAGCATGGTTCCCACTGCCTATGTCTAGGAGCCTGTAGGGGCAGTACCTGTTGGTAGGTGTAAGTACCAGCTTGGCTGTGGGTAGGAACTCCATGGGCAAAGAGGAATGGCTGACTGCCGTGTAGATGACTGACCACTGGGATTTCACTAGAAACGTCCCTTCAAAAAACAGCTCAGCCCGTGCTTCTGACCTCCCATATTCCTAACACCCATGGAGTCAGATGGTATCGAATCTCACAGGACACACACATCCCTTGCTGTCTTGTTGGCTCGTTGTGGGACTCTTAGGTCTCTGGGAGGGAGCCCATTGCATTTTCAAACCACTCCTTCTTTACATATTTACACATCAAACACTGTCCGTGAAGCGGCGGGTTGCTGTGTTTTTGTTTTGTTTGATTAAATTCTTATTAAGAGCCAAAGCTTCAACAGAATAATGTTCTGAAGAATTCAGAGGGGAGGGAGCAAAGAGAAGGGGTGATCCTAGCAAACAGCTGGTGACTGCACATCCAAGCCAGCCAAGAATGAAAAACGTGGGAGAAATGGAGTTATTCCAGGCGAGAGTACAAAGCAATTTTTTTTAAAAACAAAATCTATTTATGGTCAAGCAGGCTGTGTTTCATTCTCAGCCGTGCACTAATAATCTGGATGTATCTAAGCTCTTGCTGAGCTCTTTATGCAACAGTCAGCAGGCTCTTAAACCATTATATTTTCATGGAAGATTGTAGTGGAGACGAAGCAAACTCATAAAATGGGACAAAATGACCTTCCACCATCTTGCCTCTCTCTTCCCTGTCCCTAAGCTCCTTTCCTAGGTTTCTTCTGCTGTTTCTTAGTAGGCATTGCATTTGCTTACTGCTGCTGTAGGCAGTTGGAATTAGATCCATCATACAGTCTGCCAACCTGCAAGCTGTGGGGTGGTGATAATGCAGTAGGGAATGCGGCTGGAGTAAAGACTGCATGTAAATGCAACATTAAGTACTAGGAATAATCCCATGCATGTTAGTGTCAGTTCACAAGCTCCTAGTCCACCCACACTGTGAAAGGTGAAGGGTAAAATAAGGAATGGGTCATGAGAGGAGAATGCATAGGTGTGCACAGATGCACATCAGTGCTATCCTTGCTATGCTCGGTTGTGCATTGCTTAAATGTCACTCCTGCTACAAGGTAGGAGCAGTTTAGCAGCCATGCGTAAGGTTATTTCCCAGACTAGAGTCAACCTGGCTCCCCAGTACTCCCCCCCACCCCCACCTTATTGTTGTTGGTTCCAAGTCAGAGACGCTGTGTGCCTGTGTTTGCCAGTGATGCCTGATGAGCTGCTAAGCACAACACTCTGCACCTGCATCAAGATCAAGATCAATAAACTCAGGCTGTTCTAGACAACCCTCTCCCCTGCCCCTTGCTCTCTTTGCATCATACAAATGGCATTCCTCAGAGTGAAAAGAGGGCCTCAGCCCAGTTACAAGCCCTGCAGGCAATGGTCTGGGGAAAGAGATGAGTCTTCCGGACAACATCAACAAAGTTAGACTGTGCCAGACCACAGGGGGAGTGAACTCCAGAGTGAAGGGCCTCATCCAGAGCTCTTGGAAGTCACTGAAAAGACTCCCATTGACTTTAATTAGCTTTTAAATCAGGACACATTACATGGAGCTCCTGCTG